CCGTGATTAATTATGTCATGTATTGTTTTGAACAAGACCTATATAATGTCGGCCAGTAAGCGAATTCATAAAGAAGACAGCTGTTTCTATTAAGTTTAACGTCCTGTTTTGTTTTTGCCGAGGCGAAAACTAATTGTTTCACCCAAGGCCTATGTAAGGTCGGCCCATGGTAGATATATAAGGTAGCCGCATCGGCGAATTGGGAACATGGTATGTCAAAATTTTTATCAAGGCGAATAATAATGGAGAAACGAAGACGTGGACCCATTTTGAATATGTTTTCTGCGGTAGTAACACTTCAGCATACAAAACTCAACATATGTGGAAATCTAAGGTTCAAAATTACAACCAAATTATTGAGATTGGGACGTATCATTATATGGAAGCGAACATAGAAAGTTATGCAAGGAAATTTGCACTCAAAAAAAACCAAAATGCCAAATTTAAGAAACTGAACTCTAACAATGTTTAGCAATAAAACTCCAGAATGCAGTTCTGGTTTCCTTGATCAATATCCTTATCATATGTATTGTCTATTCTGAAGGTCCCATTCGAAGATTAAGGCTTCGCCCTTTATTATACAGTATATAAGGATGGGATTTTTACGTGAAATACGCTACCAAATCGTTATAGAAAGTCTCAAGATAATAGATTCTTACAGTAAAAGATCTTCCTAAAGAAGTTCATATGAAGGTATCCCATACATGACCTACATATATGTTTTGCTTTTTCAGAAATTGTCTTCTTTAGTTTTATTTTTTCCGGGGAATTCAAGAAAAACTAATTGTTGTGACATATAATATTACCACCAGCTGGCTTGATACGGTTACCTTATTAATATACCTTGGGTCGGCCAGTAAGCAAATTCATAGAGAAAACTTAAGTTTAACTTCAATTTTTTTTTTATAATTTTTATAATTTTTTAAATAAAAAAAGACAGCCAAAACACAATACAATTTATAAGTTGTAGGATAATTTACTTGAAAATGTTCTTTAAAATCTTGAAATAGTCCAAATGTGCTTCACAAAGACGATGTAAATTAAAATTGAATTGAATGTTGACAAAATATCAATATTTTCGTTCTGACGTCTAACATAATTTTGTATGTATGTATAGGTTTCCAAATATTATTTGACAGCAAACCGTTTTTTACATCGGTTATAGCGACCAATTTCGCTGGTGCATTGAACGTATTCAATTTTGGCAATGAGTTAGTTTAGTTAAATTTTCAATTGTTTGCATGATCTGTTCCTATATTCGACATGTCGTATTTTATCAAAATATAATTTTACTATTTCTTTTGTGGTGAAAAACGTCGAATTATTCATTGGAATCTAATTCAATGCTCATGCTTTCTAAAAACTCTACCTTCTTACCTTTATGAGGTTTGTTGAACGTCCGGTATTAACCAAATACACAAGGACCTTATCAACAAATGTGGCAACTGAGAACGGTGAAAATGGGTGAAAACATTTATTGATTTATCGAAAAAATTTTACTTTTATAGAAAAATAATTATTTCATTTAACCCGTATCGGCGAATCGAGAGCGTGATATGATATCCAGAACAGTATAAAAAATAAATATATATTAAAAAAACGTATATATGGTGTTGTGCACATATATTTTGGTAAGAATACGATTTTTTTGGTTTATTCTTCAAAAAAATACATTTTCATAGCCTCAAGCAGAGATGGCATGTCAGAACAGTAACATACATTTCCGAAGTACCCAAATCCATTAGGTTTTTGACAAAATAGCTATTTCCAATAATCAATTTGGAAATTACGCATGCTTTACTCAAATTAATATAAAGTCAGATATATGTAAAAATAATATATATTCTTGAAAATAACTGTATATGCTGATAATATTGGAATAAATGACGTTTACCACATTTATTACATTTTATACAGGTATATGACGTTTTCGACGTTTACACATTTTTGACAGTCGAAAACCTAAAAATTCGTCACACGGACCATCCCTGGTCTCAAGACTTCAGATGGTCTTCTGCATGTCACATTTTTGTTAAACGAAAATTATAAATCGAAGTTTCTCTTTTCATGATAAAATTATTATTACCGGACGTTTATATCAGTGTTATATTGAAAAAGTTATATAAAATAATTTTATTTGTTTAAAATATCATAATTATTTATTACAATTCTTGGCATGGCTAAATTACGCGTTTCAGAGGTTAATCGAAAAGGTGCTTTTTATTCACCCATATGCCGACTACAGGAAAACCTTAAAAATGTTTGTTCCAAAGTAGGTTATAGGACTTTTGGTTATATATATATATATATATATACAGTATTGTTCGAAACCTAAGCTACTTTTTCTTAGTAAGTAATCATGGTCTTTTATTATCTTGTTAAATTGAATTATGAAAAGTACTTATTTTATTAACTTTTGCATTATACAGTCGACACTATACAGTCGACTCCGCTTTACTGAAACGGAAAAAAATTGGATTTTTGAACAGAAAATAATTTCAGTTATCCGAACTCATCATAAGCGAAACATTTTTTACTTTTACGAATTTCAATAATCTCTATATCATAGCGAATTTGTATGTTTCGATTTTTTAAGAAAATAAACGATAGAAATTAAAACTAGTTAACATGTTCACTGCTTATGGGAATTTTATTATGAACTGTAAAACTTATGAACTTGTAACGAAATCCATCGTCTGCCTGTTGCAATCGTAAGACCTATCTTAAATACAACGTTTGATTTTAAGAACCTAAAATATCGGCCGATTTTAAGTCTTTTTAACAGCTGGCTAATAGTACGTTTACATTTAATCGGATTTCGTTAACCCAGTGGGTTTCAATTGTCAATCCCTTTGCATATATGTCAAATAAATCCTCCTGAAGTGGGTTAACCCGGTAAAAAGTTCAAATGTATATGCCGTTTAAGCTGTAATACCCAATATGAGGTTGTAAATGAGTATAATACTTCCTTGCAAAACTTGTCACCAGACCTCAATCCCATTGAGAACCTTTTCAGCATTTTAAAACGAAGGATTGGAACACGTTGCCTTAAAAACAAACAGGAACTAATGAACTGCTCAAAATCAGAGTGGGAAGCTATACCAACAACAATTCTAACAAATCTTATAGAATCAATGCCAAAAAGTTGTGCGACAGTGATAAAATATAACGGGTATCATACGAAATATTGAAAGTTGCTTAGGTTTCGAACAGCTGCTTTGTGAGTTAATTTTGTTTTCATTTCTTTATTTTTTTCCAAAGAAATATATGGTCTGTTCCCGTACTGCAAGAATCTACTCGATTTTACTATTTTCTTCGATATCATAAAGGAAAAAATTGTTATCGTAGTAAAAAGTAGTAGGTTCTTGCAGTACGGGAACAGACCAATAATTTAAATTTGTTGCTATTTTCAGATTATAGACACATAGTAGAGTAGTAAATAAAATATATATTTTTTATAAATCAATTTAACGATATCATATAAGACCATGACTACGTACTAAGAAAAAGTGGCTTAGGTTTCGAACAATACTGTATATATTACAATTTAACGCTACAAATTGAAAATATTGCAAAAATGCATTGCTATTAATTAAATACTGGCCACCGAGAGGAAACACTGTCGTCATATTGTCTACAACAGTTACATATTTGTCAGGATCGGCAATTATGTTTTCTGTGTATCTAATGGCGCTTAAGGACAGAAAAATAAAATAATAGTTCCGAAGGAACGATTCAAAGAGTTTCGCGACAAACATGTTAAACAATTTAACAAATCAACACAACATTTCCATAAAACACGAAATGCTAATGATCCAAATTGAAAAGGAGCTCGTTGACAAAATTTTAGCATTCTCCTCATTTCATATGTCCATGGCTGACTACCAGGAGAGGGAACGTGTTGGAATAGCAATGAAACATTTTCCTTTCAAATGCAAACGAGTCTCAGTGCTGAAGACACAAAACCCCTGTTGAAACATAGGTGAGAGCAAAGCAAAAGAGGAAACCACACAACAAACGTTTGCACATAATAAAAATATAAATTCGAAACGTGTTTAGTCCAAACGCAATGTACGTACGCATTGGAAAGAGATAGCTTGAACAAAGAATGAGAGAGCCATAGTGACGACATTTTTAATTGTAAACGAATTTTTAACAAACGTCTTGTACACAACTAACCAGACAATATCTCAAAAGTGTTAACAGTTAGGTGAGCGCAGAGCGCTCAATTCGTTGCAAACCCACCCCATGCAATGGCCAACCGCTCATTACTACCAACAACTCCTCCCTCTCTCACTCACAATTCCAATTGGATTTGCAGCCAACAATTGAGTGTTTTACACGCAAACGAATAAGACACTCCTTCGATTTTACACACGGCCAGCAATCGATCTCTTTCTCACAGCAGCGATTTGAGTTTGTGAACAGTTGTACTCCACAGCTGATAATGCTATCCCTCTCCCACCAACAAATGTTGTCGACCGTTCACAAATGCAGCCTTCGCTCTCCGAATGAACAAACAACCAAACAAACTGGTTCTCGCCTGCCTGCCTTTGCCGTATGGGCTTCTAAGCTAGTGCTGGTGTCTGACACAATTCAGTTCATCGTCGTTTGTCTTACGTTAAACACAGGAACGCTTCAATAGCAGAAACGTACGATTAAAACCAGTTTTCAACATATATACATACATACTAATACAAAACCAATAAAATTATTAACAAACCGCTGGATAAAAAACGACGGCAAAGAAAAATAAAAACAAAACATATTAAACCATTTTACAATACGACAGTTTGTTTGTTACGGCGGCAACGGTCAAATAACTAAACTCCCAAAAGAAATGCAGAACTGCTAAGAAAAGAAACAAGCCCAACTGCATAAACGTAGTAAAACAACGAAATTGTAGTGAAAATTCGAAACAATAGTGAAATTTTGTAAAGTTGGCAAGTGGAAATTAAGAAAAGTTCATAAGAAGCGATAAAGAAGTAAAGAGTGCCATCATGTTGATCGGTTCCCATCCATACCTGTGCAATCCTGCCGGAGGCGTTATGCCATCCAATAATGCGGCCGGCGTGGCCACAACAAACCCAACAACTACAACAACAAACAGCAAAGCCACCGTCGGCTCAGCTACAGACTTCTCCATTGCAGCCATTATGGCCAGGGAAGACGCATCCAGTCGCGGATCATCAGTTAGAAGTGCCAGTAAGTTCAAATCCTCGTTTTTTAGCCGTCGCAAAAATCATTCTATCTCTTCGCTAAATGTATCAACATCAGATCCATTAATCTTTCCAAGAGTTCCGACAACATGAAGTAGTATCTGTCGTTTGTGACTAGTTAATCATTGCTCCAAAAATTGAGTGAAGACACACTTCATTAATGAACAGACACTGCTGGCAGGCCACACGCATTGAGAACTTGCTAATTAAGCTAGTCAAAATGTGTAACTTGCTAAACAAACTTGTCATGCCCCTTCGATTTGGCCCAGTAAACGCCAACACTTATAGCTCCCAATCGATAGCCCAAGAGAAACATAAAACATTTTAATTAGCACTGGCTCGGCTGGCCCGATCGTACAACAAACAACGTTTAGTTTTAATTTCAATATTTATGCTTTGCTTGGAGTTTTTATTGATTTTTAACGTCGGGCTTCAGATTAATCACTGGTCATTATAAACGAAAATGAGATCCACACATACAATTTATGGAATATTAATGGCGTGTAGAGATCAGACGATGAATAATACAATGCTGATGGCGACGAAGATGATTTCTAATATTTCGTACTAATTTTCGTCTTCTTGTCTGGTTTGATTTTTTTGCAGGTCCTATTTCCATAGAGGATGAAGTTGACGTGGATGTGGTTGACTGCAGTGACTCGGAAGAGCCTCCAACTAAATCCCGCCGCCTAAACAGTTCCACTTGCAGCACCAACAGCGCCGGAAATGTATCACACACCCGCCTGAATACCAGCACAGCATCGAGCGTTGGTCGTTCTACACCACCTCAATCGCCGGCCAGTGATATCGACGGCGAACGCTCTTCGCCCGAGCCCGCTCCCAAAGCGCCCAAAATTGTGGGGTCATGCAATTGTGACGACCTGAAACCAGTACAATGCCACCTTGAAACCAAGGAGCTGTGGGATCGTTTTCATGACCTGGGCACAGAGATGATTATCACCAAAACTGGAAGGTAAGCTTCATCGAAAATGAGGAACAAACAAACGGTGAAGACCAACAATATGTTCGACAACAAGGCTCCCCCTATATTAGCAAATATGGCAAGTGCAAACTGACTGACAATACAAAGGAAGAGAACATAAAAACGAAACAATAACGACGAATATTACGTTCATCATGCAATTGTGACATTAAGTTTGCCGCCGTGTGTCGGTTACTTTGTTTCCATTCCACGCGGCGACTTTCAATGAAAACTTTTCTGTTTCGTCTGTCTGTCTCTTTGACAATTAGACTGCCCGCCATTTGGTCACTGGTCACTTTCGTGACAAATTGCGTTGTAATGTGAGTAGATTAACGCGTTTCGGGGTGATACATTTGCATGTGGCAACACATTTAATCCTTTTGTAATATCGCCGTAGTCGTCGTTAGTTATGTACGGTTTACACGGGAACACAAGGGAACTGAACAATTACGCACATTTTTCTATTGCAATTGTGAAATTGAAATGTGGAATTCGAACTTAACGCAATGATTTGGCTATTTTCTGTAAAAATGTGTGAGGTCTTCGCTCTAGTTGAGGCAATTGTATTGTACTCACTCGTTTCAAAATGACCCTGCCAAATAGTTATGGTTCCCACAGCAAAATAATGGGCTCCTAAATGTCTAAACATTTCCATCAATCTTTATTTCTCGGACATGGCAACAATGATATTAGGGATAGTTTGGTGCACAAAATCTGTGAAATCAAGTAGGCGTTTGACTTGTCAACACACAAACATTTCACAATTTCTACGGCAGACGTTGTTAGGAAAAAGGAACACAATGTTCAAACTCCTTCGTTATAGAGCACAGCGGGATGCATCATAAATATTAAGACAAACCATGTGTTTAAAACTCACGCACATACACACTATCAGTTAACTTCATAGGAGGCCACACAAATTGACTTTTTGTCCTGTCAGGTCGGCTATCCGTTCGACACCTTTAAAATAAACTAATCGTACTGTTTTATATTTTGCCACTGCCTTCAATTGTTCTCTTAAGATCATTGCGAAATAATATGTGGGTGGCCTATCTCCAATTCATACATGAGCTTTTATCTAAAATTTTTAGTTTCAGTTCTGACCAAATTTGTATTTTTTATATTTTCAGACGGATGTTTCCCACAGTCCGCGTAAGCTTCTCGGGACCTCTGCGACAAATACAACCTGCCGACCGTTATGCTGTCCTCCTTGATATTATTCCGATGGATTCGAAACGCTATCGCTATGCTTATCACAGATCAGCATGGTTGGTAGCTGGTAAAGCTGATCCTGCCCCTCCCGCCCGTCTATATGCTCACCCAGACAGCCCATTCAGTTGTGAAGCTCTGCGCAAGCAAGTCATTTCATTTGAGAAGGTCAAGTTGACCAACAATGAAATGGATAAAAATGGACAGGTAAGCATCATTAATTACTATAGAGACATTCTAAAGGCCTCTTGAAGTCCATTACTTTGGGGAATGAAATCCGTATACCCGTTAGTATACTTTAGTCATTTGCATATTTTATGCGTACGTATAGAACATTGTTTTTCGACTCTCTGCCTCCACTTTCGTTGGCAGACTTGGAGAAGAACGTGAACAACATGGTGGTGGATTACACTTTCCTATTTATTTGGTCTTGTTTGAGCTTCAATGAATGAGTTGTTTTTTTCTCAGACCACTTCTGTCACTATTCAATTTGTGGCACACAATGCAGAGCGCATGTCCTTGTCAGATAATTTTGTATTGCTCCCAAATGAGCATTTGGAAGACTTTGGCCATTTTGTTTTTTCCTGTGTGTTTTACTGAAATTCTAATCGTATGTTTCTTGGTTTCAGATTGTTTTAAATTCTATGCATCGCTATCAACCCCGAATTCATTTGGTCCGTTTGAGTCATGGGCAAAGTATTCCAAGTAACCCGAAGGAGTTGCTGGAAATGGATCATAAAACATACGTTTTTCCCGAGACCGTCTTTACCGCAGTGACCGCTTACCAAAATCAACTGATAACTAAACTGAAAATTGATTCGAATCCCTTTGCCAAAGGCTTCCGTGATTCATCGAGGCTGACCGACTTTGACCGCGATCCAATGGAAGCCCTGCTGCTGGAACAACAGCTAAGGTCACCCCTACGGCTATTCCCCGATCCTTTGATGCAACAATTCGCCGCACAACAAGGAGCTGATCCGGCATCAATGGCAATATTTGAAAAAGCCCGCCAGCACCTACAGATGTTTGGCGGTAATTCTCCATACGCCCAATTGATGATGCCACAGATGTACGCCCAACAAGGACCACCACCGCCCGGTTTGGGAGCCTTCCACATGTTCCAACAACAATGGCCTCAACTTACCGCCGGCTTTCTAGCATCCGCCAACCAACAAGCCGTCGCTCAAGCTCAAGCCCATGCACAAGCTGCAGCCCAGGCCCAAGCTCAAGCTGCTGCAGCAGCTGCCGCGAATCGTACACCACCACCGCCTCCCACTGCATCAACGCCTTCATCTACCTCCTCTGGCTCACCATCACCCGACATGAGACCCCGACAATTTCAAAGGTTTAGCCCATATCAGGTACCACAGCACCCAGCACAGCCACGAAGCCCCTCAAACCACTAAGGGCGCCCTAACCTCCAAAGGGTCCACAGACCCCGCATCAACCTTGCCAAAACCAGTATTAGGAATCTCAATAAATCCGCTTCAATGAAGAGGACTTTGGTTTCAACATGTCCATAGAAATATTATGTTTGTTAAATTTGTTTGTACAGTCCATGGTAATTGTAAATTTTTGTTTCCCTCTACCGCTCTCTACTATTTCTTCGTATAGTATAATTAATACCCACTACACCATAATGCTAAGTTATTTAAGACAAATATAGACAATTTTCTGTGTACTTAGTGTAAAATAGTTTCTTACGATGCGCGCGCTTAGAGCATTCTTTTTATTCTGGAACGAGAACTTAGTAAATATTTATTTCGTATGGTGTTTTTTGTATTTTTGTTTTGTTTTTAATTCCCACGGAAAATAATACAAACTATTTGTACATATTTAGTGTAAGTAAATGCAGCTCAGGTCGTTTGATGCAGCACTGCCCAAACTCTACGCGGCTATTCTCTGTGGAGGGGCTTAGAATCAAACGTATTTGTTATTGCCTCAATGTTGCAGTAAAAATTATTAAATGTATTCTCTTATGTTAAGTATTTTATGTTAGTTTAGTTCGTAGACAATTAATTATATATTTATAACCCGAAAGGGCTAAAATCAAACTCCAAAATACAGTATAAATGAAAACTATATAAATCAAGAAAACCTGCCTTTTCGATACTATTGCGATAACTAACTACACAGATATCGGCCGGCGGCATTCCGCTTGGCTGCAAGTTTGTCTATTAGATGTTGTGCTCGACACTCTGCACTGGTTCGACACAACGACTAAATATGCATATATCCTAAATATCCTAGATGGTTGATATGCATGAACCGACGCACTTGCCTTTCGTTATGGGAATTGGAATTTCAATTCGTGTATTCGGCACTTGTTTAAGGACCATAACAAATTGCCTTCCCTTTCGAAGCTGGTTTGTATGCACACGGGTGCAATGTTTAATTTCATTGTACGCTACTATGTACAGTGATGCTCACTCATTTCGTTATAATTTCTTGTTCGTCAGCATGCACTCTACAATGTAGATTCTACGTCAGCGATGTGCAGACCTGAAATGAGTGTTGTTAATGTGTGTGAGCGTAGCTGAGAATTCATCACAAAAATGACTGCAGAAAAGAGAACAAATTGGAGTAAGTTTTTAACAAGTTACGCTAACGTATCATTTTGGGAAGTTTTGAGCATCAATGGTCTACATCATACATGTGCACTCTCTTCGGCGCATTCGGAATTCAGATGCATATTATTTTTTTTTCTGTTGGATAACGAATTCTTTCATTGTGGTCATTTGCAAAGTGAAATATTTTTCTGAAGCTTGTTCAGTTATGCTCCCTTGTATTCCCTCTGTTTGCCACATTTAACGATGTGTTGATAGATGATCTCATCTACATATGTAGTCTAACAGACCCAAGTCAATGCGAAGTTGAAGTTTGCATCTCCACTCCAGCATATACCGCAAATATACGAATGTCAAAAGGTGCATATTTAATTAATTCTTTAAACGTTTGTTAATAAATAACATTTTCTTACGGTTAAAAAATTGATTTTTGTTGAAAAACATATCGTACAAATTGTTCCCGAATATAAATAGCACTATTTGATTTAAATGTAGTGCAACATGTGTTTATTGCAATGATTCTATGTAATTGAAGAATTGTGTATTTTTTTATGTTGGTCAGACTTGTAAAAGACAATATTTTTAAATCAGGCATCGCCCTCATCAAAATATCACTGCTTTAATTTATTTTATTTCATTTATATTATTAAATTCTACTTTATTTATTATTACTATTATTATTTCTTTTTTTCTTTTTTTTTTTTTTTTTGAGAAAAATTAAAATTGCTGAATATATTTGGTGTTTGTAGTTGATTCATACATGTCCGTCCGTTGTCCGTCTGTCTGGCTGGTGCCCACGATAAATCTCGAAGTGAATAATCGCTTTCATCCAAACTTTGCACATCTTAATATTTCTTCCAAACTTAGTTTAAGTTCGAAGATGGAGAATATCGGTCCACTCCTTCTGATACCTTCCCACCAAAATGGTCAAAATTGCGCTAAAAATATATTTCATAATAACACACAACCGGACTATCCGATTGTCCTGATTGAGGAAGATGGGACCCATTGGTCCATTCCTTCTGGTACCTCCCACACAAATGGTTATTTATAAATCCAATATAAAACGGAGAATGGGTACCATACTGCACTTTTTTAAGAGCTAATACTGACTTAAAATATGAAAAGTTTTATACACGAAATATTTACGAAATGGAATGGGAATATTACAATAACATGTGTAAATATACAAAAACCCGTGCATCTAAATATGCTTATTAGCTAGTGATTTCAAACTTTGCGACAGTTATTTATTTTGATATTCGATACCTATGGATCAAAGCTAGTGATGTACAGTGAGAGCTGCATATCGAAAACGCCATTGCCGAATGTGCCCCGATGCCGAAGGTGCCCCAGTAAACCGATTGTAAATGACTTTATTATTTAGGATTTTTGTGTCCAATGTTTTGTGGCCTAGTGTTTGTTATGGAGATTTATCGGCAATAAAAAATCGCAATACTTTTTATCACGCCTTACCACGTACGTTATCGAAAAAACATGAATGAATATAAGTATTTATTCAATTGTTACCGTCGACATTGGTATATAATGAAAAATTCATACGAAAAATGTATTTCAATTCGAATTAAATCTAATACAAAGAAACTAATATTTGCGCCCAATTGCCGTGGCATGCACACTCTCCTCCTATTTCGTGGAAAAACAAAACGACATTCATCTTCGGAAACCCAAAGTATTTTAAATATTTTGTCAGCTTTGACATTCGAACTTTGTCTAATTTTTCTTCAGTGATTGTGGGATGGTTTCTAACACTCCCCCCATTAGACTAATCGTAACGAAAACTATGCAGACAAACGAAACATATACAACGGAAATTATCAGGTGACAAAGAATATCGATTTGGTATTTCCCCGTACTTATCGACACATATAAGTATAGTGATGAATATCCATTCATAGGAATGGATAGTCGTGATGAATATGCTGGGTCTGTGCGTATTCATCACGACTAAACATGTCTACGGTGAAATCAGCCGAGGGTGGCTGTGTTTTCGGCGGTCATACTTTGTATAACAAACACATCATTTATTTTCAAATTAAAAGGAAATCTTTTGCTTGCAAAGAAAAGCTGTAAAACGAGCCAATTTTATGATTTTTCATGTTCTCGTGGTGCCAGCGGAACATCAGAATATATTTATGACAAGAATAGCTGGCTGGCTGTCATATGCAAATGACTTTACCAAAATAAAACTTCAAATCGCCCACAGGAGCATATCTTTTGGTATCTCCTCAGTGTAATGGGGTGTGTGCGGTTGATTGTTCCGACAATTAGATAACACCGGACGTTATCAGTCCTGTTCAGAGTTCAGTCGGTTAATTGCTGTGCCACCTTTTTTCAATTTGCTTCTTGCCCAGTTGCATTAATGTGTTTCCTCCTTTGAGTTTGTAGGTAATCAAGATGTTATCGGTCCGCTCGTGTGTATTTGTTTTACATTAAAGTTAATTACGTTAGCTAGGTAGCAGCCATGAGATACCAACACCTGTAAAAAACTGTAAGTGATATGTGATCAGACATAAGGAAAACAATTCGGATATCTATATGAAAGATCTCGGACAGATACTGACAATGAATATACCATTATTAGCAGAGGAGTAACAGCTATGTTAAAACCAGCATTTCACTTTAATGGGCTTTTCTCGAAAATAGAGATTTTCTTAAAAATAATTTTCCAATATTCGTCATTTTGCTAATTTTCTAGTAAAGTCAAAAATTATACTTCATACGTTCATACTATACCATAATTGCGTTGGAATTTAGAGATTCGGATGTTCTAGTGATCAGAAATCATAACAGCCGTCGAAAAGAAGGAATTTTCTTTATTTGCAAAAAACATCAATATAATAACATTTTGTCCATTTATGCTTCTTTAAGACTTTTAATACATGGGTGCAAAGTTACAAGTCTTTAACATTATTTATGCTCATTTACCAGCTGGTTTAAAATTGTCGAAATTTTAAATCGACAATGGAGGGTTCCCTTATGTGCATATCATCGTTAAGTAATATAGTACAGTTAACGCCTATAGGTCCTTAACGATGATCCAGTAGTGCTGTTATACTACTGGATTTATACAACTCCACATACTTGAATGGAGATTTCCCGAACAAAAAAATTGTACAATTTCCTGAAGTACAGGAGAATTATCGATACACTCGACTCGAAGTGTTAAAAAAACATAATATTCGTAATTTTGCGAAAGAGTCAATTGGAAAAGCGTAACATTATATGCTTACATCGATCGATTGTATTACTAGGCTGGCGTCGTACCAATATAAATCTATACTAAATTTTGGAGATAAGGTTTGTGAACTTCTGATCGAATTCTGGATTATCGTTATTCTATATTCAATTCAGTGAACTGTGTAAAGTCTCGTGTCAAAGGGCAAAAATAAAACCTAGCTCCATTTATACACCACTTACATGAAATCTTACAAATAAATCTGGACATATGTTAATCAAACGTTCAGTATTATTGCGTAAACCTATTGTGTACAAAATAATTCATAAGCGGAAAACTTGCAAAAATGTTACAAAAAAAATGGCAATCACTCACATCAAGAACAAGTTAAAAAACAAGCTGTAGAGTATTTCTGGTTCTGGAACGGTATCCTTGAAAGTTTAACGCTATTTTGGATGTTTTTTCTAAATTGTTGAGAGAGCTACCAGAAGTGATGAACATATTTATTACGGATATTTTCACAAAATCGATGTTTACTGTAAATATTATTGTGTGCCCAGTTTGGACCAAACTGGATTCGCCAATTTGAACCACCAACTACAAGGAACTGAAAATGGCAAGGCAGGCTGAAAATAAAAATG